TTACTCCTGCCAGAATGGCTAAAATTAGAAACACCAATGACAACTCATGCTGGAGAGGATGTGGAGAAAGGGGAACACTCCTCCACTGCTGGTGGGAGTGCAAACTTGTACAGCCATTTTGGAGATCAGTATGGTGGTTCCTCAGGAAAATGGGATCAGTCTTCCACAGGACCCGGCAATTAGGCATATACCCAAATAATTCACATCCATGCAACAAAGACATGTGCTCAACTATGTTCGTAGCAGCATTATTTGTAATAGCAAGAACCTGGAAGCAACCTAGATGCCCCTCGATTAAAGAATGGATAAAGAAGGTGTGACACATTTACACAATGGAATACTACTCTGGGGAAAAAAGAAAACAATGGAATCTTGAAATTCTCAGGCAAGTGGATGGAACTTGAAGAAACCATCCTGAATGAGGTAACCCAGTCACAAAAAGAGGAACATGGTATGTACTCGCTCATACATAGATTTTAGACCTAGAGCAAAGGATCACCAGCCTATAATTCACACTGCCAAAGGAACTAGGATACAAGGTATATTCTAAGAGATTCATATAAAGTCCCTCACAGAACCGGGAAGGGACAAGTTCTCCAGAACACATGGGGAGCGGGGAGGGGGGAGCAGTGAGTGGAGAGGGAGCTAGGAGAAAGAGAAGGGGAGGAGAGGAAAGCATGTGCGACTAGGAAGATTGAGTCAGGGGAGGAATAGAAGACAGAAAAGAGAGAGGGGGGAGAGAGAGACCATAAAAGAGGGAGCCATTATAGAATTGAAGAGAAAACTGACCTAAAGAAATGTCCAGAGACCTACAAGACTGACCCCAACTAACCATTTGAGCAACAGTGGAAAGGCTACCATAAATGCCCTTCCCTGATAATGAGATCAACGACTAACTTATCCACCATCATGGAGCCCTCATCTAGTGTCTGTTGGAAACAGAAGAAAACACCCACAACTAAACACTCAGTAGAACTAGAATCCAGATGCAGAGGGAGAGGACAAGACCAGGCTGCAGAAACACATAAAGACAGCTGACCTGAGCAAGGAGGAGCTAACAGGCCCCCAGACTGACAGCTGGGAAGCCAGCATGGGACTGACTCAGACACCCTGAACATGGGTCTCAGCCAGAAGGACTGGGCAGTCTAAGGGACCTCATACAGTGGAGCCAGGATGTATTCCTGGTGCACAAAAGGACTTTGGGAGCACATTCCCCATGGAGGGACACTCCCTTAGCCTAGAGGCAGGAGGGAGGGCCTAGTCCCTACTTCAAATGATTTAGGTGACCCCTCCTGGATGGCATCGCCCTACATGTGGAGTGGTGGGGGGATGGGAGGGGAGAGAGAGGGTAAGAGAGAGAGAGGGAGGGGAAGGGAGAGGGAACTGGGATTGATATGTAAAATAAAAAATAAAAAAAATTCAATAATTAAAAAAAAAGAAAACTTCAGTCAAAAGGAGGTCACCCTATAATGAAAAATACATAAATAAAATCAGAGAAATAATATAGACATAAAAGCAAAAATATACTGGAAGCACAATAAAAAGGAAAGATGGGAAATAAGGAACAGGAAAATGGATGGAGTGTTCAGATTCTCTTCCCCTGGGTCCTTTAAAATTGAACTAGGTTGGGTGACCCTGGGGCCACGGCAGCTGGCCTTGTAGACTCTTTCTTAGTTGATGCCACTTTAACTCCTGTGTGGGTCACATGTCAGCTATCCCCAACTTGTTGTGGAATATTCCTTTACACTGTGTGAAATGTGTCGCTGTGGTCGGTATAATGAAGAGCTGAATGGCCAGTAGCGAGGCAGGAAGAGGCCGGGCAGGACTTCTGGGGACACAGAACTCTGGGAAGAAGAAAGGAGTTGCCCACAGGTGTTGGGGAAGCAGGGGTGGCAGAACAGCGTAAAGGCAACCGAGCCACGTCAAAGAGTGTAGATGCCACGTCAAAGAGTGTAGATGCCACATCAAAGAGTGTAGATGCCACATCAAAGAGTGTAGATGCCACGTAAAAGAGTGTAGATGCCATGTCAAAGAGTGTAGATGCCACATCAAAGAGTGTAGATGCCACGTAAGAGTGTAGATGCCACGTCAAAGAGTGTAGATGCCACGTCAAAGAGTGTAGATGCCACGTCAAAGAGTGTAGATGCCACGTCAAATGGTGTAGATGCCACGTCAAAGGGTAGAGATGCCACGTCAAAGGGTGGAGATGCCACGTCAAAGGGTGGAGATGCCACGTCAAAGAGTATAGATGCCACGTCAAAGAATGTAGATTAAAAGACACGGGTTGATTTAAGTCATAAGAACTGGCTAGAAACAAGCCTAAGCTAAGGCCTAGCTTTCACAATTAATAATGAGTCTCTGTGTAGTTTTGGGGTTTTTGGGTGTGTGTATGTGTGTGTGTGTGTGTGTGTGTGTGTGTGAGAGAGAGAGAGAGAGAGAGAGAGAGAGAGAGAGAGAGAGAGAGATTACCCGCATACGGCCTGAGAAAGCGGAAAAAAAAGTTGAAAACATGGAGTCAAACTCGGATTGCTGGTGTGGCCTCCTAGTGACCGAGGTCTCTCTAGTGGGCTCAGCACACAGAGACTGCCTACGGGCTGGAGCCAGCCGCCGGTGCCATGTGGGAGGCTCAACTTTCGGGTGCCATCTCCATGACAGGAAGTGAGCAGGCTAGGCCAAACTAAGTCACATGGTGTGGAACTTCCTACCACACCCCTGAAAGTTTATCACACACAGAGAGAGTGATAAATTATTTATGATTTAATGAAGCTTAGCCTGAGGGTTAGGAGAGGAAAGCTAGCCACAAACCATAGAGGTCAGGCAGCAGTGACACACACCTTTAATCCCAGGACTCAGGAGACAGGCAGTTAGTTCAAGGCCATGCTGAGCTACATGAAATTGATCCGGTCTAAAAGAGAAAACGCTCACGAAAGGACATCTTAGCACTTGGATCCCACACCTTTAATCCCAGGGTTTGAGAGGTATGAAAGGAAGACGCAACGGGTCTCATTATAGAACTTGTCCCCAGCCACACTAAAGGCAGCAGTGTGAGGTTTGATGGAGAGCATTGTCTCTGAGGATTCCTGGGGACCATCCTGAGGATGGCCATTTCAGACTGAGGCAGAGGTGAGCTGGTGGCTTGGCTGCTTTGCTTTGCTGATCTTCAGCTTGAAGCTTGAATCCTGTCTGCCTGTGGGTTTTTATTTTTGTGTGTGTGTGTGTGTCTCTCTCTCTCTCTCTCTCTCTCTCTTTCTCTCTCTCTCTCTCTCTCTCACACACACACACACACACACACACACACACACACACCAATAGTAAAAAATGAAAACCTTTACTCTGAGAATTTTAAAGTTCTTTCCTTCGGGTCCTCATCATGAAATACTACGGGGTGGCCACCTCTCCTAAGGTATCTTCTCTCTGGACCAGCAGTCTGTCCCCCGACTCCCAGACCCTAATGAAACATTCACCGAAGGGTCATTCTACCTCAGCATCTGCTGAACCTGCCACTTGCATTTGTGATTTTTGTCATTTCTAACACTAACTTTGGATTGTTCTTCATTCTCAGAGCCCAGGATGGCTCCATTTTGAATAACCACGTCTCAGAGCCATGGCCCCCGTCACAGCCCTTGAGACATGGGGATGACACCGCAGACCTCTTCACGGGCTGACATACCACGCCGGGGAAGTCCTGTCTCACTCACCGTTTATATCTGGGACTTTCGCCATTCTTGCCTTGACACGAGGGTTCTGCTCCCTTCACGTCACTACGGAGAACTGCACAGCCTGAGCTCTGCACCGTTTGCTGAGTCACCTTGCGGTGTGCACACTCTGATCAGCTGCCCTGTCTCTCCCTGTACGGATCTCCAGTGCTTACCCATTCTTTCTCTCCTGTGAGAGTCTGTTCTTTGCTATGCCAACTCCTCACCGCACAGAGACAGCTGCTCACTCATGCAACACGTTGTCATTTCTTCCCTGGAGTTACAGGTCTAGGACTCTTTTGCTTTACGTGAGTGTTTTGGCTACTCTGTGTGTGTGTGTGTGTGTGCGCGCGTGTGTGCGTGTGTGCGTGTGCGTGTGTGTGTCTGTGTGCGTGTGTGTGTGCGTGTGCGCGTGCAATGCCCGTGGAGGCCAGAAGACAGTGTCAGAACCCCTGGAATTATACGTTGTGAGCTGCCAAGGAGTGCTGGCCCTAACTTCTGAGCCATCTCTCCAGCGCCGATCTAGGTATTTTTGAAGACAAGCCCCATCTCTGGATTTTTCAATTATAAAAGCCATAAATTTCTCCTATTTTTTTCCTTCTTAATACAATTGGAATTAAGGTTTTTTTTCTCTCCCTTGCTTTTGAAATATTTGGTACTGGTAGAGTTTGAGTTGATAAAGCAAGAACTTGACACGTTCGTGGTAACAAAAGAAATAGCCCAGGAAACTTCCAGAAGCCCCACTGCTGAGTCTTCCTTACTCATGAGTTCTGTGTCTTTTTCATCCTATTTCAGGAATCCTGTTAAATGGTGTACAACTTTAATATCATAATACATAATTTAGCCAATGCCCAAGGTAAATTCAGCACATCAGATAATTTTCATATGTATAACTTACCTACGTTTCTCACGTATATTGTAATGCATAAAACATAGTAAAGGTGGCATCACTTACAGTGTCTAGATTAAAATCAAATAACATTTTTGTTTGTTTTCTGAGATAGGATTTTTTATTATGCAGCACTGGCTGTCCTGGAACCAGGCTGTCCTTGAACTCACAGATATCCACTTGTGTCTGCCTCCCCCCCAGTGCTGGGATTAAAGGAATGTGCCGCCATGCCCAGTTTAGGTACAATTTTAAATTTTAACTTAGCAGTAATACCTCCCAGAAAGTAACTGGGTAAATCATTATTCTTTACTGTCTGTATGCTCTTTTGTGATCTGTAAATCATTTTCATCTTGACAAATAGAGTTAGCTACCATCTATAAACAACACGGAAATTATCATTAACAGTGTGGCCTTACCCAAGTCAATATCTCGGATTCCCATGTACAGTTCGAGGAGATCATCAACCTTTTCGATTGCCTTTGCTTTGGCTTCTGAGGGCTTTAAAAAGAGAGAGACAAGATATTGCATTTACACAATGAATCTCTTGACTGTTAGGGCACACACAGAAGGAAATAGCTGGTCCATTAGCTAATTTTAGTGGACATATCTGGAATTACCTTTTAACCTTAAAGCTAAATGTAAATCAATACAATAAATGTTTAGCTATAGTGTCAGCATTAAATGTGAATTCAAGAAAGAAAGGAAGGAAGGAAAAGAGAGGACAGAAGGAAGAGAGGGAGGGAGGAGGGAGGGAGAAGGGAAGAAGGAGGAGGGAGGGAGGGAGGAGGAGGAGGGAGAAGGAGGGAGGAGGGAGGGAGAAGGAGGGAGGAGGGAAGGATGAGGGAGGGAGGAGGGAGGGAGAAGGAGGGAGGGAGAAGGAGGAGGAAAGGAGGAGGGAGGGAGGAGGAGGGAGAAGGAGGAAGGGAGGGAGGAGGAGGGAGGGAGGAGGGGGGAGGGAGGAGGAGAGAAGGAGAGAGGGAGGAGGGAGGGAGGGAGGGAGGAGGGAGAGAGGGAGGAGGGAGGGAGAAGAGAGCACAGTTGCCAAGTACTGAATTACCTAAATAAGAGAAAGCTGAATATATGTGTGTATTTAAAGTTGTGTGGAATGTGTGAGTAGTGTGTATATATGGTGGTGTCTGTGAATGTGTGAGTGTGTATGTATAGAGTATGTGTGCTTATATGTAAGTGTGCATATATCAGTGTGGTGTGTGTGTGTGTGTGTAGCGTGGGTGTGTGATACGTTTGAGTGCATGTGTGGCTATGAGTTTGGGTGAGGGGTATAAAATGTACGCTTGTGCAAATGTGTGAGAAAATGCTAATTCTAGTGCCCCGCCTTGCTGGGGCTCAAACGCAGAGTTTATGTATTTCAGACAAACATCCTGCCACTGAGTTACACCAGCAACTTCATTTATAGGAACTAAAACTTAGTAAAAACAAGACATATTTCTCGGGCCTCATTGCAATGCTGTGGGCTAAACCAGTTACGCTGGCTTGAATGAGAATGCTCCACAGGCTCATATATTCGAATGCTTGGTCCCGGGTTGGTGGAACTGTTTAGGATTAGGAGGCGTGGCCTTGTTGGAAGAGGTGTGTCTCTGGGGGTGGGCTTTGAGGTTTCAGAAGTCAGTGTGCATACCCCCCACTCATTTGCCTCCTGCTTGTGGACTGGATATACGCTCTTAACTACTTCTTCAGTACCACACCTGCATGCTACATGCTACATGCTACATGCTGACATGCTCTCCACCATGATGGTCATGGACTCACCCTCTGAAACTGTAAGCCAAATAAACTCTCTCTTGTATTGCCTTGGTTAGGGTGTCTCTTCACAGCAATACAACAGTAACTGAGACATTAAGTTGATGGGATAAGTTATTCTGTAAGTATGTTTCTCATACTGGTTAATGAGTAAAGCACTGATGGCCAATAGGAAAGGAAGATAGGAGGGACTAGGAGACAAGGAGGAAAGAGGAAGTAGTAAGGAGGAATCAAGATGGAGAGTCTGGAGAGAGCAGGATGTCAGCCGGCTCTCCGGTAAGATGAAGCACGTGGAAATACGTACATTAACAGAAATGGGTTAATAATTAAGGCAGAGGTAGCCTATAGAAACGAGTGCCTGGCCAACAGCATTATATCAAATACAGAGTCTCGGTGTATTATTTGGGGCTGGCGCGGCGGCGGGACAAGACCAGCGGCGGGAGGAAAAACCTTACTCCTTACATTAAGTAACTCAGATATTCACCTCTGTTTCTACCCAGCCACAGTATAAGCTGTGGTAGCGAATGGCAGTGATTCCCATACACAAATGCCACCAATAGCTGGCCGCTGGTTTCTGGGACAGCTTGGTCCGTCACCTCTCCCCATCCACATTCTGTTTGTTTGCATCCTCGTCCTTCCCTCCAGGCAGAGGTTTCCTGATTTCCTCCCCTGCCATCCCCTCCCAAATCCATCCCGCCCAACAGCACATCCCTGAAACCAAGGAGGTCTTCTAAAACACACAACCAATAATGTTGCTGCCCCACCTTTTTAAAGGGATCCCCAGTTAACCACGGCACATTTCCCACGCTCATCCTGCCTCTTCCTCCAGCCGCCTCCCACATCACCCACTCTAGTCTCACAAACAGCATGCACTCTCTCTCCCCACACCCACAGTTGTTCCATAACTCATCTGCAAGAGCTCCATCGCCTCTGCAGCAGCCGCTGGGTTCCCTCTTGTCTTCCCCAGCCCCCGACAGTTGTGACTCTGTATGTCCTGAACTGTTCTTCAGTCCAGCCTGCACCCTGGATTCCTAGTGGCTCCTGCTAATGCCCCTCCCCCAGCAGAAGGGTCTTTATTTATCCTCGCGTTACCAGAGCCTGGAATGTGCCAGGCTCAGCAAGCACAATGAATAAAGAACGGAGCGGAGCGTCATTCTAATCTTCCTGAATTTGTGCCATCAGAAGGGAGATCGTTTAAAATCTCGTAAGTTTAAATCCTTTAGAAACCTGATTGCAGGCTATTTGTACTGATTTAACATTGACATCAAGCTAGCTTCTTTTCATTGTGAGCTAATTTTAATTAACCTATTTAATTAATCAGACTATGCAAACGGTGGATGTTTAATGTTTATTTTTTGAATAACTTTTCCCCAGACCCCAGAGAGGTGGCAGGCTGCCTCTCTTTCATTGCAGTGCCTCATAGCTAACAGGGTGCTTGACATGTGTTCGCTGGTTATGTTAACTGTTAGAAAATGATGCTCATCCCCACAGGACATGCAGGAATCCAAGACACCCTGCTTCCTCCACACAATGGGTCAGGTCTACTTACTTTCCTTCACGGCCCCCAACAGAAGAACATTCTCGTTCAGGTCAGGAGAACATTCTCCTAGGTCCCCACTGAGTCAAGGGACAGTGACAATCCCCAGGAGATGTGATGAGCAAAGGAAAAAGTAAAGGGTCGACCAGATGTTCCTGGCCTGCTGTTTTGCACAGAACTCACCACAGCTCCTTTTCAAAATGCCTTGGCTTAACTGTCAACTTGATGAGAAGGAGGGTTACTAAGGGAACACATCTCCAGACATGCCTGTGAGGGAGGCTCTAGATCAGGTTAACTGACAAAGGAAGGCCTACTCTAACTATGGGCAGCACCGTAACATGAGCGAGGACCCAGACTGAATGAATTAGGACGCGAGCTGAGCAGCAGCAGCCGTGCCCTTTGCCTCATAAGCAGTGGCTCAAGCTTCAGTGTCCATGTGCCCCCAGCATGAGGGATAGAATCCCTGACTCAGGGTTCCCCAAAACACACAGCATCCTGAGACTCATACAGCCCAAAGATGGCCTTCACCTGGTGGTTCTTCAAGTGTCTGCTCTAACAAACCAGCCCTTCACTGACCCTGGACATTGTCATCCAACAAGCTCTAGAGACCACTTTGCAAACAGACACCTAACTGGTCACCTGACCACTCATCCACTGTTGTGCAAACCTGGGGATCAGAGAGTGACATACTCACAGAGATGTGAGGGCCTGGGGGCATGAGGGTGACATCCTCACACAGATGTGAGGGCCTGGGATCTGAGGATGACATCCTCACACAGATGTGAGGGCCTGGGGATCTGAGGGTGACATTCTCACACAGATGTGAGGGCCGGGATCTTCAGGTGACATTCACATGTAAAGGCTATGAGGGCCTGTGCCTGGACTCTCCTCTCAAGACCTACGAGCCTTGGATGCCTGTGCATCTACTTCGTCACCCACTGTGCTCACTGCCATGGGTAGAGCTGCTCCTGCCCTTGCCTATCCTGATCACGGCCACCCACACTCGCTTCTTTTGCCTTTTCCCTCCATTTATCTCTTCGCCTTCTGGCGTTTTCCACTCAGACACTGACCTTTGCATTGACAGTCAGAGGATAAGTGATACCCTTGCTTTCCTCAACCAAACATAAATCCATAATTAATTCACTGATGCGGCAAAAACCATGAGATTCTATCCTAGGTGACTAAGACTATGAACAAGCAGTAGACAAAATTAAACAGAATATAGATACGAGACCAGCAGTATCTGTTGCTTTGACGAACAAAGCAACACAGGCTTCAGATCTGCACAGAGAAACCGTGTCTCCAAAAACAAACAGCAGCAGAAGTGGGAAAGGCAGAGAATTGCATGTTGCGCCAGATACTCTGTAGGGAAGCAGACAGGGCAGTGACAGGGCAGACCCAGTCAGGAAGTGAGAGCACAATCGGAAGGGGAAGTGGTGACTGCAGCCCTAACCCTGAGCAAAGGAAACCCGGGGATGACAGGGGCCTGGCTGGACAGAGGGAGTGCGGAACGCGAGGTCAGAGCAGAAGTGTGGGCTCAGGCCACAGGGTTAGCAAGTCTGAGGCCTTAACTTTTACTCTCAGGGATGCAGGAAGCCCCAGCCTCCCCACCAGCATCTCTAAAGGATGATCGATCATGGCTGCTGCGCCCAGCACAGAAAGCAAGAGGAGAACCCAGAATGATCCAGCAGCCTCCAGGGGAGGACAAGCTGCCTGGAGTCTCAGCCTCCAGGGGAGGACAAGCTGCCTGGAGTCTCAGCCTCCAGGGGAGGACAAGCTGCCTGGAGTCTCAGCCTCCAGGGGAGGACAAGCTGCCTGGAGTCTCAGCCTCCAGGGGAGCTGCCTGGAGTCTGGTATAGTGGTGTAGAGCTGGATCCACAGGCTTCCCTGGCAGGAGGAGGTGTAGAGCATGAAAAAAAAGAGTCAGAGGACAGACTTAGGAGACTACCCTCTCTGAGGGGCAGATGGGAGGGGTGAAGGGTGGGAGGAGCCCGAGGAGAGGGGGGAGGGGGAACTGGGATCTGAAAGTAAAACATAAATTAATTTTTAAAACTTCTCAAAAGTTAAATAAAAGAAGAGTCAGACATGACTAAAAATTTATCTTTGGAGACTGGACATCTCGGATAAAATCTTTCCTTGTAACAGTCCTCGTTAAGTGCATGTCTCCTGACTGCAGTTCAAATGTCCACAGACCAGTCTAGACTGGTGACCTGCAGAGGCCATTCCCACTGACCACGCCCTCTCTTGCATGCTTTGGGGTAATTTCCTCTTACCACCTCAGTGGTTTTCAGGAGGGAACGGTGTATGAGGAGGAGGTGAATTCACAGCCCGTGCTGTGCATCCAGCCGTGGCATTGAACTCACTCTGATCGTGTTGGCTTTATTTCCAGCTCTGACAAATGTGCACAGCTGTGTATTTCCAAACAGAATGGGAACTGAGTGAACATAACCTACCAGCTCTTCTACTGTGGCAGGACCTTTCGATCTCAGACGAAGAGTCCCTCTGCAAGTGCCGATTTTATCTGTGGACGTCTTCCCAGCTTTTGACCTTGGTCCTATTTCTGTAAAAAAAAACAAAAAAAATGTGAGTAGGAGAGGTGTGAGCTCAGAAAGAATTCTAACGGACTGTGTGAAAGTGGGAACAATATGCAGTTACGGCAGATTTGATAAAGAATGTGCCTCCTGCAGGATTACCTAAAACCCAACAGGCCCGCCTGGCTGCCATTATTCTCGTATGTAGACAATTGGGTCTGCAAAACAGAAGCATACAGGCAAGAGAGTCTGGAAGCTTTCGGAAAGGAACAATAGGGGTTGGCTTCCTTCTCAGAGCGAAAAAAGTGTGAGTGGCCAAAAAGCACCCAGGAAATCTCATCTGGCCTTCGCCTTGGTCTTAGAGTTGAGAAAGAAGGTCTGAGGAGACATGTAGCTCTGTAACTTGATGCTTTGTAGATGAAATTCCACGTACCACACGGAATGCCCTATGAAGCCTCTTATCAACCCCATTTTATAAATACGTGAGTTAAAGCCAGTGCAGCCGAGATTCAAAACCAAGTCTTGACAGGCATGGTGGTCGCTCATGATTAACCAATCTCAGCACTTCAAAGTCTGAGGCAGGGGGATCACTAAAATGGTGTCATATGATCCCAGACTCTTCATTCTTTAGTCAACAACGCTGCAGTACCACACCAACCAGAAGAAGGAATTCAACCAAAGGGAGAGCTCAGGAAGAAAAACACGTCGGACAGTTCCAAAGGAGGCTCCCGTGTTCACCAGCACTCACCTGAGAGAGGCCAGCCTGCCTGGCCTGCCTTTGCCTGCACTTTATTTTGTTTATTTGTAATGGGCACAGAGTGGCTTTGCAGAGCACTAATCCTAAGCAGTAACTCAGCCAAAGGAAGGGCAAGGAGGGCAACTGGAAGGGGTGTGCCCCATCTAGACCTCTCCAATAACATGCCTTGCCCTTCAGGAACATGGGCTCTGTTAGCCAGAGAAAATGGATATTCGCAGGTTTGCATGAATTTCCTGATTTTTTTTTTTTCAGCTTAAACCCAACCCTTTAAAAATAACACACTGGCAAAAATAAAAACAAAATCAGAGACTAAGTAAGTACAGGCTACCAATCCATAACCTCTATGAATGTGCCCAAGCCCCTTTGGCTGGGGCCTCTCTGCAGCTACAGCTTAAGGCAAGGTCCAGGGTCTCTAGCACCAGGGAGCAGCTGGGCTCGCACTATGACAGTGAGAGCCTGCAGAACAGGATGCAGGATGCAGCAGCTACAGAGGTCTGTGCAAGTAGCAGAGGTTCGGGCATCATAGGTACATGGGGACGCGTTCTTGATAAGAACCCTAGACTGGTTCCCATCTTCTGCCAAGTTTTTTGTTTTGTTTTGTTTTCTCTTGCTGGGAATCTAGGGCAATGTGATTAAGAATCTTACCCGTGCATTTTAATCTGAATTTAGGGACAGAATTTCCAAAACACAAGTTTTCCTCTGAAAGTTACCATAGGATGGATAGACAGGGTCCCCGGGAGAAAGGAAGCCATAAATGGTGGTGAAATGGTGCCCAAATGCTAGTCGGTGACTGAGCAACTTTCCAGAGCACTGATGCTTCACCTTTGAGCTGACCGCCAGCACTGGCCTTGCTACATGTCCCTGGGGAAGAAAGAATTCTCAGCTGCTCAGAGCACAGTTCCAAAACGAGGACCCAATGAGAAGGAATAGGTCAGTCTGTCTTCAGCACTGGCCAGAAATTCCAGTGTTCCATGGGTCACGTCCCCAAAGCAGGAGAGTCAGGTGTTATAGAATATTGCTTTAGCCAGGCAAAGGTGTGTTACACTGTCTGTGCTGTGGAATATTATGTTAACTATGTTTCTTCTGCCTTTGGAAACTATGTAAAGATGTGTTACATTTGTTTATGCTGCATTTGTTTAATTATCTAAAGATGCTGCTGTTTCACCTTGCCTGAGTGATAAAAAGCTAAACAGGAAATAACTAGGCAAGAGAGGGATAGGTGGGGATGGCAGGTAGAGAGAGTAAGTAGGAGGAGAAATCTAGGTGAGAGGGAGGGAGAGAGGGAGGGAGGGAGGGCAAGGGAGGAGGGAGGAAAAGAAGAGAGAAAGAGAGGGACACACCTAGGGTCAGAAGCCGGGCAGCCACCAGAAGTGATGGAAGAAGATATGAAGAAAGAGAGGGAGAGGGAGAGAGAGAGGGGGGGGGGAAAGTATAGATAAAAAGACACAGATTAAAATAAGAGCTAAACTAAGGCCAAGCATTCAAAACTAACTATAGTTCCCAGTGTCATGATTTGGGACAGGTATACCACTGAACGTTTGCAAAGCTAAGGACTCGGACGCTGGAGCGTGTAGCTTAGGAAAGGCGTGATCAGTCTTCTGTGAATTCAGCTGGCCTCTGTAGGTACCTGTGACAAGTGGCTTTCATTGTCAAGTTAACACAGTCCCAAAAGGGAAGTCTCAGTGAGGGGATGTCTCATCACGCTGGCCCTGTCCATGTCCGTGGGGCACTGTCATGAGCACGTTGATTGATTCAAGAAGACCAATCCTAAAAGTCGGCAGCATCGCCCTGAGTGCAGGTCCTGGATTCTAAACTGAGCTGAGATGTAAACATGTGCGTGTTCCTTCTCTCTGCTCTCAACTGTAGACAAGAAACAACTGTTTTCAGGTCCTGTTGCCATGACTGCCCTGCTACTACAGACTGGAGCCTGGAACTGTGAGCTAAAATAAATATTTTGCCCACTTTCTGCCAGGATGTTTTATCACAGCAACAGAAATGAGCCTCAACTGAGTCTCCAGCTCAACTTTTATCTTACTCTTTGCCACAACAGCAGAACCTGGAAGGGGAAACTGTTAAAATAGAAGTGTGTATAGTATTAATGAATTACTTTTACTGCTGCAGAAAGTGAGCAAAAAATACAAGTTTCCCATATACTCCCTTTCCCCCACAGACCACCACCCCATGATCAGCACACGCACACACACACACACACACACGCACACACACACACACGCACACACACACACACACACACACACACACACACTCACCAGAGCAGGGACACTCATTGACTCTCCCCATCACCCAGAGTTCATGGCTGACACTCCGGCTCACTCTTAGTGTTCTGTTTGTCTGGGAATCTGCTTAATGACACACTCCCATCACTGAGGCTCATGCAGAATATTGTCACTGACCCCAAACCTCCTTACCAAAGAGTTAATCTTTATCATCACCTTTCTTGTATGGCTTTAGTTTTAGTGTTTGGTTTGGGGTTTTATTTGTTTTTGGTTTTGTTTGTTTTGGTTTGGCTTTTTGATGGTTTGATTTGGATTGGTTTGGTTTGAGGTTTGGTTTGGTTTGGCTTGGATTGATTTGGTTTGGTTTGGGTTTTTGATGGTTTGATTTGGACTGATTTGGTTTGGTTTGGTTTTTTTGATGGTTTAGTTTAGTTTGGTTTGGCTTGGCTTGGTTTTTTTGACAGAGTCTTTCCCTTGGATTGTGTCACATCCAAACAAACCACTTGGAGGCAGCAAAGCAGAAGTTAAGCACTAAACTGACTGAGGCCACCTTCAGATGCCATCACCCAGGCTTTTCAGACTAGAGGAGGCTTCTGGGGACAAAAGGCAGCTTGTCCCTGCATGAAAACAGGCAGGATGATCCTGCTCGCTCAGGCTGAGGTGGAGGAGGAGACAGGCTTAGTGTCTGGGGAATGTTCTAAAGATTCTGAGAGTTGATAATCTGGCCTAATTTGGGGATAGCCTATCTGAGCATGTCTGGGCAGCCAGGCCAAGCCTTAAACCTGTCATTTCACAGGAATGGGTGGACACAAGCCCTCTCTCTGGGATGAGTTAGGAGAAGATGTAGTTCAGACTGTAGACTATGGTAACCAGCCCCAACCTGTGAAACCACTACTGTCACTCATGAGCCCCACCCCCAGGAGGTGCGCGAACGCCCTGCCTCAGGCGGCCTGCCTCAGGCGCCACTCCAGAGACCAGGCTGCTTGTGCACTCAGGCTTCGTGTGCCAAGAGACAGCTGCATTCCTACCCAAGCCTTCTCGGGCCGTTATATCTTTCAGTCTAATTATGTGGTTTAATTTTAAAAACCATGAGCTGATGACTTGGGGAGCTATAATTACCATGAAAATTAGGTTGAGTCCTCTGAACCAACGTAAGAGCTGAGGAGCAGGGTTGTGGCCAGCATGGGCCCAGGGAGATTAGGAAAAGAATTTTAACAGCCATGGCTTCACATATCTGACTTTTTTATTTTTTTCTGTTTAATGAACGAACTCAGGTGTGTTCATTAACATTGTGATCATATAAGAAAAGTTTCTGGTTAGGTGTGGCAGTTACACCCCGGAGACAGAGGTAGGGACATCAGGAGTTCAAGGCCAGGCTGGGCTTCCTGGAAGAAAGGAGCTGAACAACCGAGCAGGGGGGATTTCCTACAGTTCTGGTCTGTGTGGTCAACCCAAAAGGAGGAAGGCCTTTTAGGAGCCGAAGGACAAAGGTGGTGGCCATGTGAGCCTGATGGCCTGAGTCCAATCCCCAGAACGAAGTTGCCCTCTGACCCCCACATAAGTGCCGTGGCACACGGATGCCACATGCACACACTAACAATAATGGTGGTGATGGATAAAGATAACTAACTTTTAGGGCCTTTTCGATAAAGGACAGTAAAATGACATATATTTTTACGTCTCAAATTGAAATGCAACATTTATACAGCCATGGATTGCTTTAGTAACTATTTGGCTGACATTTTTAAAATGTATTCATTCTTTTACATTTCATTTTACATTCCAACCACAGTTGTCCCTCCCACCCCTCCTCCAATCCCCACCCCTCCCCCAGTCCACCCCCAGTCCACCCCCAGCCCATTCCTCCTCACAGGCAAGGGCTCCCATAAGGAGTCAACAGAGTCTAGCACAAAGGTTGGGCAGAGCCAAGTCCCTCTCCCATGCATTAAGGCTGAGCATGGCATCCCACCATAGGGAACGGGCTCCAACAAGCTGACATTTTAAGGCCCAAAGCACCCAGTCTCCGCTGTATGGT